CCCGCATCCGGCAATCTCAACGTGGGGCCGGCAGCAACCGCTGGCTAGGACTGTATGCTTCCAACGTAGACGCGAAGACAATCGCATGTGGGGCCGCGACGTTCTCATGTAATCTATCGGTTGGGGGGTCGTTACAGGCGAGTGGTCCTTCCACGTTTTCGAGCAGTGCCGTGGTGGGAGGGAGTTTAGCGGTGACGGGTCCCGTCGCTCTATTGAATGCTCTGACGGGCACCTCTGCGACGTTCTCTAGCAACGTGACCATCGCCGGATCGTTTTCATACTCGAACCTCGCACTCAGTGGGAGCTTATCCGTGGCTGGTCCTACTCTGGGAGCCACATCCGCTAGTTTCTCGAGCAACCTGACCGTCTCTGGAACCTCGACTCTATCAGGCGCTCTTGGGGGCACCTCCGCTAGCTTTTCGAGCAACCTGACAGTCTCTGGGACCTCGGCTCTATCAGGTGCTCTTGGAGGAACCTCCGCTAGTTTTTCGAGCAACCTGACCGTCTCTGGTACCTCTACATTCTCCAGCAATGCGACGGTTGGCGGAAACTTACTCGTGACCGGCCCCACCACTCTCAGGTGCTTTGGGCGGTACTTCGGCGTCTTTTTCCAGCAACTTGACCGTCTTTAAAACCACGGCTCTATCGGGAGCCCTGGGCGGTACTTCGGCGTCCTTTTCCAGCAACCTGACCGTATCCGGGACTTCGACTCTATCAGGCGCTTTTGGGGGTACCTCCGCTAGCTTTTCGAGCAACCTGACCGTCTCTGGTACTTCTACTCTCTCCAGCAATGCGACGGTAGGCGGAAGTTTACTCGTGACTGGTCCCACCACTCTCTCGAGTGCTTTGGGGGGCACCTCGGCGATTCTTTCTAGCAACCTGACCGTCTCTGGGACTTCGACTCTATCAGGCGCTATTGGGGGCACTTCAGCTAGTTTTTCGAGCAACTTGACCGTCTCTGGTACTTCTACTCTCTCCAGCAATGCGACGGTAGGCGGAAGCTTGAATGTCAGCGGGCCCGTCACCCTCTCTAGTACCCTGGGAGCCACTTCGGCTACTTTCTCCAGCAACATAAGCGTCGCAGGAATAACCACTGGAACCCTATCGGCGAGCGGACCGGTCACTCTCTACAACACCCTGGGAGCAACCTCCGCGACTTTTTCGAGCAACGTGTCCGTGAGCCGTATCCTGTCGGTGGCCGGGCAGACCACACTAGCGAGCAACCTGGCGGTCACCGGCCCCGCCACCTTTGCATCCAACATCACCATCGCGAATACCGACCCGATCAGCTCTTACAAGACATGGGCATCGTGGACCCCGTCTGTGGACTCGAACGCGACGCTCTCGACTATCTTCGCTAGGTATACGTCCATCAACAAGCGGGTGACGCTCGCATACTCGCTGAGTCTGACCTTTGCGTCGTCCGCGGCCAGCACCAGCATCTCTCTGCCTCCTGGACAGACAGTCGCTTACTCGGCACAGGGTACGCAAACTTTCAACAAGAGCAGTGGGTCCAACCTCTACGCGAATATCAACTTCTCCAATCGATATATCTCGACCGTCGGGACCGCAGTAGGTTCCGTCTCTGCTGACAGCACGACGTCGCGACTAGCGTTTGCACTCACGAATTTTCTGCCGGGCACCTGGACCGCGGCGGGCATCTTGGACTACGAGATCGCTTGAGAATCTGGCTCCCACAGGGGTGGAGATTTCCAGCTGACATGGAGATCCAGACTCTGGCTTTCGATACTGCTCAGTATTCTTCTTTCAGTCTCAGGACAACCGAGATCGTGGCATTGCCTGCTGTGTTCACCGCCCTTACGCACACTACAACGGGCTGATACTCGGGTACATTGTATGCAACGACTTCAGATGAAGCCGTACTCTCCGTCTTCATACCATTTCCGCTGATGAGTTCCGTATAGATGACGATCCCACCGCTCACCGCAGTAGCTGATGAGTCATAAAGAATCTGAGACTCCGTCGATGGTGAATCTTGTACGTTGACGTAATTCGCATTCGTCAACGTGGCATTCACACGCAGCTGCACGAATATGGTGGTGTCACTGCTGATATCATAGGATGATACCTTCAATCCCATTCCTGCCGCTCCTGTCTTTCGTTTGACCGCTATCACGGGTGTGAATGTGGTGGTGCTCAGATTTATCGAACTCGTGTCGTACACGGATGTGATCCGATATATCGGGCTGTATGTTCCTGCGAGAGAGTACTGTCTCCCTGCGATATATACTGTCATCGGAGAAGCCGTCCCTCCGTTCTGAAGGCTCACGCAGAGAGGCAGATTGGGTGTCATGGTGGAAGTTTGCTGATTCGGCGCCCACCTGTGTACGGTCTGGACGATTTGGATGCCGGACGAGTCCGTCGTCACTATTTCGAACGAAACGCTACCGTAACCGTACCAACTATAATTCTGACGCCATATGTTTCCTCGTGATACATCCAATATCCTCCCACTGGGCCCAGTCCCATCCATCTTATCCACGTTCCAGCTAGAACGGGGTACGATAGTCTCTACACCGTTGCGCACGATCCCCACGTTGATCCCCGAAGCATTGTAAAGAAAGAAGAAGCCGTTTGTTAAATCGGTATATCCCCACCTGACGGCCTGACTACCGGTAAGTGGTGCGGGAATGCGGCATGCGATCCCACACTGCGCTGAGAAGCCAGCGACATACCTTCCACGTTCGGCACTCTGCATGATTGCCGTGTCATTTGCCGCGGTAGTCGTCAGAGTAAACTCTGGATTTCCCACCGAATTCGTCACGGAACCGGTGCCGGTGGTAGTCACGATATCACGGAGCAGCAAAATACCAAAGACACTCTTGAGATCTATGATGCATGTCCTGCTCACCACACGCATCTCCCCGAATCCATCTGTAGGAACCTGACTCAATGATGAGACGGTACCCGCGACGTTGAGGTTCCCATATACCGTGGTATCCGAAGGAATGAGTGTGGTCATGGCAGACCCCAAATATGATACATGTAGAACATTCTCTCAGAGTCTCGACGCAGACATCTCACCAATGGCTGATTCATGTCTCTGTGGATATTCTGTCCCGTGGAACAGGCGCGTTGACGATTACCCTGGCGCTCAACGGCTTGTACTTCCTCTCTAGAACCGCGTCCAACTTTACCCACAACGCTTCCTTCGTGGTTTTCAACGGAGCGGGCCACGGAATGACGAATATGTTGTGCCCCCTGTCTCGCAACTAAACGCTGTCGTTCTCCAACATCCTCTGAATCTTTTCATTGCACAGTTGAGCTGCGTCCAAAGCATCTTGCCGACTCATCCACCTGGTCTGACTTTTCCAAAACTCATCACTCTCTATTCTCTGCAACAGGGTTCTCTGCGTTCCACTGTGTACCCAACAGAGATGCATCGACCCTTTCCTGCACGATGATTTCATCTTGCATCTCCTTTGCATCCATCGAAATGAATGACGTCAGCGAACGTAACGAAGAAAAGTTTAAGTCAAAGCTCGGACAGTTTGGACAACTCGGATTGGGCCTGCCCGATGATTCTAGAACGTGGTCACTAGGTCACACCGTGGAGATTGGGTCTAGCCACGAGTGTGCGGTATGTTTCTAAATGCCCCGCGCTTGCGGCGGCGAATATCGCAGATTCTCGAGGTTTCGCCCCGTGCTGGAGCAGGACATCGACGACTCCTGTGTGCCCAGCATCTGCGGCATCTTCCAATGCTTCGTCCAGCTCGTTCTGCGACGGTTGCCCAAACCGAAGTGCTAATCGAAGTGTATCGACGTGCCCATTCTTGCAGATATATCTAAATTTGAATGGGGCTTTGTAAAACTCGAACGATATTTCCTCGGTGCCGGACCGGATGAGTAACTCAGCGCAGTCAGCATGGCCTTTTTCCAGGGCGTTCCAGACTGCGCCACCCCAATCATCTGCATTCCCACCAGCATCGAGACCCGACTGCAGCAACGACGGTAATCCCCGGACGGACGCCCAGTATACGAAGGAATGTTTCGCCGCGGGCCACATCCGCAGAAGGGCGCACACCTCTTCCTCTCTCAATGGTGCGTCTTGGGAACCGAGCCGTTTGGATAAGGCATCGTCGAAAGTACGATCGGAGATGTCATGCGTAGAGTCGAAGATGCGCCCCGCCTCGCAAAACTCGCCTCGTTTCACGTGATACTCGACGAGAGCTCCGTTCGACCTCGACTCATCGCGAAACACATGCCCCCCCTTCCCAGCCATTTTGGAAGCCTGGGGGCATGGCTCTATTCCCGCCCGAAGTAGCAGATGCACCAACTTAGAATGCCCCTGTCGTGCAGCCCATGCCAGGCACAGCTGCGGCTCTGTCAGCATGTCGTGCTTGATCAGGTAGTGTTGCAGCTGCAGATCCCCTTTCAAGAAGAGTTCGATATCCGGCACGTTCGAAAAGATCTGACGCTGGATGTCGATCGGCAAATACGGCAAATGTCGCGGGCGCTTCGTCCTCACGCGCCTGGGTACTCGGCGACCCAGGGAGTTCGTCTCCCTACCGCTTCGAAGCAACATCGTATATCGCGACTACCGTTCAGAGAGAAAGTTTATAGCAGATTCACCACGAAGAGGCCCCAACCTATGAGTCTGGTGCAAACCCGCTTCGAATTGCTTCTGCAAAGCATTCCTCGATTTGTTGACATCAATATCGATCCCTCCTCAATCCCACGTACGCCCTATATAGACGTTTTTGAACACCATGAGAACAAAAATGGGTACCACACGGACTACCTACGTTTGGGCACTCTAAAACCGAACGTGTGTAAAAAGAAACTTTGCGCTTAGATCGCAGAACTGTTAACGCTTCTTCCGTGAGCAGGCGCTCTATGTTCGAACATACAGGAGCTTATGATGGATGTGCGGCTAAGCTTTGTCATAGACGGCGTGAAGGGCTTGAATCTCAGACGGTCTGCTGTACGATTCTCTCACAAACCTTACGCAACGGAGGCTAGAAGGGGATTCTACCACTTTCTGTGCTTTTCTTCGTGGTCGCACCGCACCTCTCGCAAGGCGCCATCGTCTCATGATAGAGTGATCTGGAAAATAGTCAGCGAGAGATCAAGCGTGCCTCTGCCGTTTGGTTTGAGTCGATGCGCGTTCGCGGAAGTTCGACCTAGCGCTGCGGTATATGTTCCCACCGGGGAACGAAGAAATCGGATTCATTTCGATCCACGGGTATACCTCGGTTTAGGGCCGCTCTCGGCTGAGGTCTCCATTTAGGGCGGTCGATGGACGGTTTCGGGTCCTTGTTCATCGAGCCGGTGGACCGTCGTCGGTTCGGCAGGACCGCGAGGGACGAGATCAGGATCAGCACGCCGCACGGTGCCTTCGCCTTCGCCACGTCATCCGTCCGAGCGGTCAAGCTCGGCCACGTGGTCGCTCCAGTTCGGACCCTACTTAAGACGGACGGATCGGATAGAGATACTCTCATTCGACATGGATCCGGACGCGCAGAAGCGAAAGAGGGAGGAGAAGGAGCCGACCGGCGGGGCGAAATTCACAAAGACCATCCGGGGGTGGAGAGCGGACGCTAAGCAGCCAGAATATGAGACGCTGTTGCAAACCCTCACGGATCTCTTCCTGAAGCACGCATTCGTTCCCGACTCGGACGTGG